TGAACAATGGCTACAATGTCCCCAACAGTTAACAAGCCTCCAGAAGCCACAGTAGAAATAAGGACTGTGTAAGTAACATTATCACTCGCATAGTAGTAAGTCAATTGACAATTCATAATAAAAATCAAAACTTTTGAAACAAAAACCAAAAAACAACAACAAAATTTCATTGACAAATGTAAATCTTATCAAACTGAACTCAGATGAGGAGAAAAAAGAAGTTATGACAAATGCAAGTGCATAAGGTGAGTTACTGTACATGGAGGTTGTGTTTGCCCCTATTGGTGGAGTGCTTTTGTCTCAAGATTAGTCATCATGTACCAGTGCACTTCATGTTAAAACATGCGAAATTAGGTGGGAATTGCCCCAAGGCTGGTGGCATGCAAATCTTGCAGGCAGACATGTGAAGATGATAGCTAATTTGTGTGTGGAGGCAATTTATCTCAGAATTAATAGTTTTTTTTGCAGACTTTGTACCCACTACTGTGAAATTTAGGTATCCAAACAAAAAATGCATGTAGCTTTCAAATGTGCCTTTTAGAACAAAAAGTATACAATCCATTGGAATTTTCCAAAACTACTGTAATATATCTGGCTTTCTTTCTAAACTATAAATAAGCTAAAAAAATTCTGTTACTGCTCAGAGCTACAACTTTGCTCAACACAAGTCAAGCTTTCTTTTCAACTACCATCTACTTCTCACCTAAAGCAACCAATGGATACCAAGACTTATACAGAACATTAACTGCTCTTTCTAATGGTTATAACATGTCCATCATCAACATAAAAGACAATTATATACTTCAAAAACTGAGATAGATGGAAGGGGCTACTCTGGCAAGTTAGATTAAATTTATTGATAACTCAGCAAATCGAGAAGGTGGGCAATTCAAATTTTACATTCTTGTTTGTCATTATGTGTAGTTTGTGTTTTTATTTGCTTGGACAGTATGAAAGCCTTGTTAGGAGAGATATAAAAAATATATAGGAGAGAATTCAGAGTGCAGATGCATCATGTGACACAGAGAAGACAGGGGATTTTTTTGAAAATTTATTTTTGAAATTAGAAATAAAAACTTAAATAATATAAAAAGTTAAATCATAAACTACATTTTGATGTCAAGTATATTGACAAATATTGATAATATAAAATTGTTTAATTAAATTTTGAATTTAACTCTGTAAAAGATTGTGATGTGCACTTTCACCTTGCTGTACAGAAAGAATTAATTAAAAGGTTAAATTTATTCCTCCATGTATGGGCTCGGTCATTTTAAAGATCCTTCACCCAATGTAATCATGAAACTACACATTATAATTCTTAACCCTCTCACTATGGGTAAACTTGGCATCAAACATACTTAATAAATCAAATATTAATATCAGTTTTAACACTTTTCAGCACAGGCTCAGTCCCTAGGACTGACCTCGTAACCATTTTGTACTTGTTATAGTTTTCATGCTATAACTTTTAAATTAGTAAGCGAATGTTAACAAAATTTGGCAGATTATCAGTAAACATTACAGTGCTTTCATACAAAAAATATCAATTTTTTTATTATGTCTTAAGGTTTGTAAAGCAATGATTTTATCATGCCTTTTTTTCATTTCGCATGTTGCCTCTCCAACATGCAAAGTAATTTTCATTTTAAGATTAATAATACTTTTGTGCATCAGAAAATTTTCAAATTTCACAGGCAAAATTTTTATAATGTCCAGATAGTTATCAAATGTTTCTTAAAAAAAAATGTTATATTTCATCTGTTATTTTCAGAAACGAATCTCTGTACAGGTTTGTTTGATTTAATCGACCTCGTAACCATGTTAAAAGATAGGAAATAAATATAAATGATGCCTTTTTCACTCTAGAATGACTACAAATTATAACACGAAAACATAAATGTTTAGACTTAATAACTTAAATCTCATAACATTATACAATTATATATATTTATTATTTTATTATATTGACCTTTTCAGCCATGCTTGGCTAACAATACAGAAGTTACAATGACATGGTGCATGTGCATTCATGTTACCGTATCCAATAATATAAAACTGACCTTTAGTCTTTGCAAAATGACCTGTCTTGGCTGTATTTTATTTTGTAAAATACAGTCACATTTCAATTATTATATATTATATATGTATACAGATTATTGCTATTTAGATACAAGTTCTTACACTTATTTTTC